TCGGAGAAGTCATGCTTCGGGCGGAGGAGAACGCGGAGGAGGGCATGTCGGTGATTTGCCAACCGAGGGCAACGTGAGAGGACACGTGCTTGCTCGTGAGGGAAGCCGAGAGCCCGGTGTTGTGGCACCGGAGGTTGGGGCACGCCGGCTATGAGACCTTGGCCAAGATGGTCGAGGGCCCCGGGTTGGTCCGGGGTGTGGGGGTGAAAGCGGAGGCGTTCCGGGAGGAGAAAACCTCGGTGTGCGACCCTTGCATCGTGGGAAAGCAAACCCGGAAGCCGTTCCCCAAAGAGTCGGACTCCAAGGAGAGTACGGAGCCCCTCGAGCTCGTGCACATGGACGTGTGCGGGCCCATGCCGGTGACGTCAAAGGGGGGGAGTAGGCACTCGGCCACTTTCCTCGACGACTATAGCAAGCTCTCGGTGGTCCAACCGTTGAAGCGGAAGAGCGACGTTACGGCGGTCACGAAGAGCGTGTTTGCCCGCTTGGAGTTGCAATTCGGGAAGATGGTCAAGGCGGTATAAACGGACCGGGGTGGGAAGTACGTAAACGAGGGAATGACGGCCCTCCTCGGGAAGAGAGGGACGGTGCAACGGATCACGGCAGGGCACTCTCCCGAACAAAACGGTTCGGCGGAGCGGTTGAACCGGACGCTCGAGGAAAGTGCGCGGGCTTTGCTAGAAGACGCCGGGTTGGGACCGGAGTTGTGGGCGGAAGCGATGTTGACGGCCAACTTCACCCGAAACCGGGTACCCTCGAGCGTGCACGGCAAGACCCCGTGGGAGATGTTCTATGGGGAAAAGCCGAACCTAAGCCACTTGCGGGTGTTTGGGGCGCGGGCCTACATCCACGTGCCCACGGAAAATCGGAAGAAGATGGAGCCGGTGAGCGAGAGGGGGGTGTTCTTGGGCTACGAGCCCAACTCGAAATTCTACCGGGTCCTTCGGGAACGGGATGGTAGGATCTTAACTTCCCGCAACGTCATGGTGGATGAGCGTGGACCCTCCGCGATCGTTAAGCTTGGCTCCGATCCGGGGAAGGAGGAGGGGGGTGCTCGCGGCCCTAGTCGTGTGAGCCCCCCAACTCGGATGGGTGTAGAGGCTACCCCTACGGGGGAGGCCGACACTCAGCGCGGTGTAGGGGCTACTCCTGCGGGAGAGGCCGACACTGGGAGCGAGGATTCTGTTGAAAGGGATGGCGCTCAAGAGGAGACGGCAAGAAGATACGCCGCACACAAAAGTCGGGCGCCCAGGGAATGGTACCGAGCGAATCTAGCGGCGGAAACGGGGGAGCATCCGGAGCCGCAAACGTATCAAGGAGCCGTAGGGGAAAAGGAGAGCGAGCTTTGGCGGAAGTCCATGGACGAGGAGATGCGGTCCTTGTTAGAGAACAGGACATGGGAGCTTAAGTTGCCGAAAAACCAGAGGGAGTGAAGCCGGTTCCCATGAAGTGCGTTTACAAGATTAAGCGGGATGCGCTTGGGAACGTGGAGCGGTACAAGTCGCGACTCGTGGCGAAGGGGTACTTGCAAAAGCAAGGGATAGACTTCGAGGAGGTCTATGCCCCCGTGAGCAAGTACACCACCTTGCGGGCGCTTTTACCGGTAGTCGCTGAGCGCGACTTGGAGCTTCACCAATTGGACGTCAAGACGGCGTTTCTCAACGGGGAGCTCGAGGAGGAGATCTACATGCAACAACCGCAAGGGTACGAGCAAGGCGGGCCCAACGTGGTTTGCCACCTCAAGCGCACCTTGTACGGATTGCGCCAAGCGCCGCGTGCGTGGCACGCGCGCTTGAAGGAGGAGCTCGGGAACTTTGAGTTCGTGGCGTCCTTGGCGGACGCGGCGCTCTTTTCAGGAGTGGTGGACGGGGAGCGGGTTTACCTCATTGTGTGGGTGGACGACATTCTCGTCGCGGCCCGGGGGCCAGAGCGGATTGCGAAGGCGCACTTGGCGGAGAAGTTTGACGTGCGCGGCTTGGGGGAGGCGTCCTACTTCCTCGGGATGGAGTTGGCGCGCGACCGGGAGGCGCATACTTTGAAGCTCACACAAAAGAAGCTCACGGGGAAGCTTCTTGGGCGGCACGGATTGGCGAGCGCACGGGCGCGCTCGGTTCCCCTCGGTGCGGTGGAGAAGTTAACGAGAGAGGGTGAGCCGCTCGACACGGCGAGAATCCCCTATAGCGAGCTCATTGGAAGCTTGTTGTTCTTGAGCGTGTGCACGCGGCCCGACATCGCTCAAGCCGTGGGTGCTTTGGCGCGCTACACGAGCGCGCCAACGGAGGCGCATTGGGCGGCGGCGCTCGAGGTGGTGCGCTACTTGGCGGGGACGGCGGAAGCCGGAATAACCTTCGGGGGGAGCGGCGAGGTCTCTGAAGCGTTTTGCGACGCCGATATGCGGGGGACATCGACACAAAGCGTTCTACGACGGGGTACGTCTTCTTGATGTACGGAGGAGCGTTGACTTGGTCGAGCCGTCTTCAATCTACGGTGGCGGCCTCGACGGTAGAGGCGGAGTATATGAGCGCGGGGAACGCCGTGAAGGAGGCGTTGTGGTTCCGGAAACTCGGGGGAGAGTTGGGGTTGGACCTCGGAACAGTGCTTATTGATTGCGACAACCAAAGGGCAATATGGCTCCTCAAGCACCGATTGCTTCGCAGCGATCGAAGCACATCGACGTGATTCATCACTTTGCGCGGGAGCGGTTGGCGCGGAAGGAGGTCGAGTTTGCGTATTGCAAGACGGAGGACATGAAGGCGGGCATCTTGACCAAGGCCTTGGCACCCGGAAAGTTCTTGAAGTGCAAGAAGGAATTAGGAATTGCATAGAATACCTAGTGCGTGGGGGAGTGTTAGACTTGGGCGGTACTAGCATTGAGTACGCCCTAATATCCTAAGATATATCGTGGATATATCGTCCATAGAATCGTAGGCCTTTGATGCATAAGATCGGCCGCACGATTGTGAGCTTGCATAATTGAATCTCCACCGTACCATAAGCGAAACGTAAGCCGTAGGATTGAGTTCATTGTGCATGGGTTCTTTTGTGATGTGTATTCTCGGTGTAGCCGTTCGATAGGTTCTTTTGTTGGCAAAGTCGAGTAGGGACCGTCGGTTTGTCGATTGAAACACCTAGGGTAATAGCTAGGCTTGAGCTAGGCTATCAAACTCGGACTCATGTAGCAAAAGAATCACACTCATTCCTAGTAATTGAGCACTTGAAAGGCGCTTGCTTTCAACAGGGCTGGGGGAAAATGGACAGGGAGAGAATCTTGAACGCTAAATATCAAATTGTTTAGCGAATGCGGGGCTGGAGAAACTGAGGCGAATGGTGGGCGCGCAGGGCCCCAGATGGAGCACAGCGACGAGGGCTTTGGGTAGTTTGATAACCTGTGCTGCTACGCCGCGAGCCGAAGTCCGAGAAGCTGGGGTGTCCAGGATTCTGCTGGAGACGAGCTCGGACCGGCTGCTAGAGGAGGATCGGAGGGCAGGCGTCTCGGTGGATGTCACCATGACCGGCGGAGACTGCTTCTGGCTCCGGTCCATTGAAGGAAGGTGCCTCAATCGGGCCAATGGGGCTCCACGGCGGCGCGTGGAGTACAAGTGGGATGGAGGCACTTGCGACGACTGGGAGCTTGTCGCTGCTTCTTGCTTCAAGGACTCTGCCGCCAATGTAAGTGGAACTAGAGGACGATCTGAGGCTTTCAAATGTCTTTTCTGTCACGGGGCGCGGAGTGGAGCCGGGCACTCTAATGTGGTCTTGCGTCGCTTTCGACTTCGGTCCCGACTGTAGCCCAATAAATGCTATTGGCCCCGGCACCCGCCTTTGGCGGCCCAGCATACGGGGTAGCGGTGCCTCAATCCTTTGATGCCCTTCCCTCCCTATACGACCGGCGTGTGACATCACGATCTGAGCACCTTCCCACGATTCTTGGCTCGATCTCAGCCCACTATTCGTCCAGGTGTCAATGCATAGACGCACGTTTGAGACTTTCCGGTGTTGCTGTAGGCTGGACGGAAGAAGGAGCTCGAGCTCAATTGCGGGAGGGGCTTCCATCAAAAAAATGACAAGGTCTAACAAGCGGACCAGCGTGTCACCAGGAACCCGGATACATGACATGTAAATAGAGAAAGCGAGTCGCTGGAGACGATATCGGAATGAAACCAGCAAACGGCTTAGGATAAGCCGGAACTTGTGACGATGCGTTCAATAGACCGACCTTGAGTCGTGTAGGAGCAGGAGTCGCGGGTCTACGGGAAATAAATTGACCGAGGGGTGAGAGAAGACAGTGAGAGTTGGCCGCAGAGCCATCGGCAGACGCGGAATGAGCGTGCCCTATACATATTGGTGTCCCCGAGCCGTGCACGTGCACGGTCTTGCTTCACCATTTATGCCGCCGCCGTACTTTCCAGTGTTCGCGAGAGTTGGCGCCGCTTATTCTTATTCAGTGACTAGTGCAAGTCTGACTAAGCGCTCCGCCTTTTGAATCAACGATTGTAGCGTGCGTGATCCCTGCTTGCCAGGTGATTCGCGAATGCTGTACATCGTGTCCACGCACATTGCAGTCGAGAACGGGGAAGGATAATCGTACGCACCCTGTTGAAACTCATGGTAGGGAGTCGTAGTATAGTTGAGGTTACTCT